GCAGCAATGAAGAGTCAGGACTCAGAGAGACACGGGACGAGCGGGAGTTCTGATGTCAAACACGGATCTTTAATACAAGTATCGGCCGGAGAAATTCACATCACAAGTCACACAGTCAGAGGTTCTGACTGCACGGGTGGGTTGCCACGTCAAATCTGCCGCGCCTCTCTCTCGATAGCCCTTTAAACTAGTTCAGAGAGAGTAAACAACATATTTGGGGAGAATCACTTGCATCTGACGGTAGGGACGGTAGGGACGGTAGGGACGTGGCGGTAGGGAATCAGCCGGTACTATATGACCAGTCCCTCTTTACATACAGGGATACAAACCGGAGGAGCCAGGCATGGGGGGAGGTGGCAGAGACAGTGGGTGACACTGGTAGGTTTTCGCCTGTTTGGGGAGTTTATATCCAGTGTACTTCGTTTGAATGGACAGCTAGCAAGCATAGACAGTATATTTAGCCAGCATGGATGTAGCATGAGCTTTGCTTTGTATGTCCGGGGCGGGACATTCATGTGATTGGTTGTTGGTCGCGTTGCTCGCGTTGACTCCTCAAGCTCAGGACACGCCCACCGCCAAGCGGCAACGCACGCCGCCGTGTGTAGGGGCTGTTACGGCCTGTCCACACTACAGCTTCAAAAAAAGCTTGGAGCTCGGCGTGTCTGAAGCTCGACCAACAACCAATCACGTGAATCTCCCGCCCCTGACACACAAGCAGCGGTTTGATTGGCGAGACGCTTGTACTGGCATATGATTTTGACGCTTCCACCGAAAGCTTCAGAAGCTTCAAAAGTTGAACATTGCTCAACTTTTGCAGCCTGAAACGCCAGGAAAGCTCCGCTCTGCTTCCCACAATGCAGTTCGGCGAAAAGTGACGTCACCCCATTCAAATTGAATGGGCAGACGCGTTGGAAACCGTTTTTGAAGCTGTCGAAGCTGTAGTGTGGACGGGCCGTTAATGGCCTCGAAGCCAGCCAGCGTTCCCACAGCCGTAAACCATTTTGTGACCGAGAGTTGAACTGGTTTATCAAGATAGCTGGAGCCTCCCATTAATGCGGCTTTCACACCAGCGCTTTTCCCTTTCTAGCTCCGAGCGGGAGCTTTTCTGGTTCAGCTCCGGTTTCTCTTTTCTGCTCCCGCTCTGTTCACACCGCCCAGAGCTGCCGCTGCTGCGTCATGACGTCACCGTTTACGTGCCTGCTTCATAAAATCCAAACCGCGCGGAAATCCCTCACATCGACAACAACAACAATGGCCGATTGTATCGAAGCGCTGTTCGCTTTGGTTATCCTCTTACGAAACGAAATGGAAGGCATCGGACGACTTTACAAGGGACGACTTTACTTGGAACTTTACAAACATCACATGCGAAATGCAAGACTTCTTTGTGGTCTTCAGCATCTACTTCAACCCGCCTCGACGTAAGAGAGACGTAAGCGACGCCGCCTCTTAGCTCCGAAGCTCTTGCCTCTAGACCGACAATTTTTTGGAGCTGGAAGTGAACCGGATTCCGCCTCTGCGATGTGAACAGGAAAAACCGGTACTTTTCAGGCTCCAGCTCCGAGCCGGAGCTGAAAACGCGTTGGTGTGAAAGGGGCATAAGAGAGATACCAGAGCCAGGGTTGGTCGTAAATGTCAACACACAGAAAAGGTTAAATATCTTAGGAGTAAAACAGAATTATTCCCTCACAACTTTCATATCTGCATTACCACTATTTTGTAACACATTCATTATGCATCTGCGTCACTGCTTTGTTCATGTATATAATCTTAAACACAACATGCCAAAGAGTCTTCTCTCAATTGAACCCGAAAACACACAGACTGACGATATTCAGCATGAGCACACAACTTATTATTTAGCAAGACAGGTGGTAACAGATTTGAGTCCGTATCCGCCAGCAACAACACACTTTAATAATGAAACCGTAAAAACTCAAATAACAACGCGTTATAACTCCCATATCTGCATTGCCACTAGTTTGTAACAATTACACGTTCTGTGATTGCTCCCGTGAACACACAGGAACACAAGCACATCCGTCAGCTTGGTCTAATGAATGATGCATGAAACATACAACATCAAAAGGTCTGCAAATAAACCGCAAAACACAAACTGATGATATTCAGCTCGGAGATCCAACTCAGCTACAGGTGGTTGCACTGCAGGCATGAGGCCATATTAGCAAACAGCGCACCAAGGCACCGCTTCATCCAACAAACTCATCATTTCACTTCGGGAAAAATGTGAAAAAGATCTCATATCTGCTTTACAGCGAGTTTGTAACACTTAAACGTTCATTAATCATCCGTGGCACTACTTTTACACGTCTTTTCATCACTTTTTTCCTCACCTGAAAATACAGATCACTTCATGAACACAATCGGCTCGGTCTAATTAATGATGCGGCTCACCTTTAGGACGCCTAACATGGGAACGTATCTCATTGTAAGCATCACTTAACCCACTACAACATATAGTTGCTATTGCACATGAACATATGTCAGAAAATGAATACAAATCCGAAAGTTCTTGCAGATAAAAATACAGTTTTTGCAGTTTAGGTACAACAGTTTCAGTTCTGTGTATTGTGTTTGTGAGTGATGATACATGTATGTGTTGTAATGTTTACTATGTGTGTATATGTTTATATAGATATTTGATATTTTGATTTTGATATACTTTATTAATCCCTCGTGGGGAAATGGTTTCTCTGCATTTGACCCATCCTAGTGTTAGGAGCAGTGTGCTGCCATTTTGAACGGCACCCGGGGAGCAGTGTAGGGAACGGTGCCTTGCTCAGGGACACCTCCGTAGCACTTGGTCTTTCCGGGACTTGAACTGGTGACCTTCCAGTTGCCAAGCCAAGTCCCTTTCGACTTCGCCACCACCGCCCCTAAAATATGTATATGTAGATATGTATTCGTTTTATGTGGAAATGCACTGCAAGGATTTCTTTTTTAAATGTCGTTGTACCTGGTGCGATGACAATAAAGGAATTCTATTTGTACATGTATGTGGAACTGCAGGGCGGAGTCCAGAACACATTTCCTTACAGGGACAATAACGTATATCGTATCGTGTCGTAACATTACTGGGAGGCGTGTGGTGCAGTGGGTTGTGCGTAGGTGTTGGGCTCAGGGGGCACAGGTTCAAACCCCACTGCAGTCAGCATGTCGTTGTGTCCCTGAGACACTTCACCCCAAGTCGCTTTGCATAAAAGCGTCTAACAAGTGACATGTAATGTAATTACTGTGTGTCCCGTTAAAAATACCTCAAATGTGGCGGTGTTTTTATTTTCTATATAATGTCTTTACTTTTTGAATGTAATGCTACGTTTGCACAACTCACTCATTGTGTTACTGTTTCGGCCCATCTGTGGGAAGTATTGTTGAACAAGACAATTGATAAGAATAAGTACCTCAAATGTGTAAAAGTCACTCTATTGTATTTTAGACTGCATCAGACTGCAGGTGTGTGTGTGTGTGTGTGTGTGTGTGTGTGTGTGTGTGAGGATAATATCTGCTTTCATCTCCGCAGCCACACACAGGTGGGCTGCCGTGTGTGTTCTGTCTCGGCACACAGCAGACTCTGGGCTTTTTCTTTCATTACAGACGGATCCCAAAGTTGACTCTGACTGTGAGCCGACAGAGGAGCAGGTCAAAGGTCAGACAGACAATTATCTAAGGACCAAACGATGATGAAAAATATGATATTAAATAAAGATTATTGGAGAAACAATTAGAAAGCGTACTGACAAAGTTATGGAAGCCAATTGACGCCACTGTCGTAAAAAATGAAGATTCGGTTAGTTGTTATTGATAAACTTTCCCAAGAATATTAAGTTTAAAATATTAAAATGATGACTTTTAAATGTTTTACTATCTCAAAAATGATGACCTAGTATCTTAAAGTACTGGCTTGGTATCTTAAGTAGAGTATAATTATGTTTGTTTTGTTATTCTTCGTATTATTATTATTATTTAATTTGTATTATTTTTGCTTAGACTTCACAAAACATGTATTATTACGTTTAAAACTTGTTTGGTTATTGATAACAAATACTAAATAATTGAAATAACATATTCTAATGTTTGCAAAGAAATCACAGCAAAACTAACTTTTATTAAACACTATTTATTATAATTGAATTGCTATTTAACAGTAGTTAATAATGGTTGACTAATTGGTGTATATTAATGGGGGTCATTATAATAATAATACAAATCGAATTAATTATTATTATCATTATAACAATTAATACAAAAATATGTTTTAATAAGAAGAAGAATACTAATAATTATTTGTATTATTAATTATAAGTGTAATTATTATATTATTATTATCATTAATATTATTACTACGAGGGGAGACAAGCTGAATAAAAAGGTGCTGTAAGGACACTGCAGACTCACTAATCAGCAGCAGTGGAAACATTATAATTATATACATATACTGTATATATATATACCTTATATGTATAGACGAACACTGACTGCCTGTAGGAATACACCATGTTTCTCACACAGCTCCTGCATTATCATATCCTATACAAGTCCATGCCATAGCCACATTACAGAACACACCGTTTCCATTACGCTCACAACACAGAGATAATATCAGACATCCTGGAGCACTAAGAGCCTCAAAGTCATCATAATATTCATATTAAAACGTGAGAATATCAAAAGGTGGCATAAGGTCACTCACTGCAGGAATGTCGTGAATATTAAAGTGATATAAGAAACACTGCATCATGACACTAAATAATAACATTAGAAGTATTACCATAAAACACACACACATGCACACTATTATTAAGAGCATATTATAGAGGACTGTCAACAAATGTGAAACAACGGAAGCATGACTGACACATTGAGTGAATATTAAAGGGAAGCGGCAGAGGTGAGAGGAGATAAAACGCAATAAAATGCGCATAAATAACCATATAATGCGCGTTATTACAGACAGGGGAAAAGATAAAGGAAATACATACTGGTTTATGGCGAAGATGGAGATCTCTTCTTCCTCTCCTCTTCCTCTCACGTCGGAAAGTCTGCAGCCTCTCTCTCGCTTCTTCTTCTTCTCTCTCTCTCTCTTTTGTCGCCGTGCCTTCACTGAGGAGGCGGAGGAGAAGGAGGAGGAGGAGGAGGGGGAGGGAGGAGGAGGGAGGAGGAGGGAGGAGGGGAGACCCAGACAGACAGACAGGAGGGAGAGAGAGAGAGAGAGGATGATGATGGTAGGCGATGATGAAGAAGGTAGAGGGAGAATCAGACACTGCAGCAGCGCGAGGACAAGAGGAAGAGCGCGAGTAGCGGCGGGTTTCTCTCTTTCCCTTTTCTTTATCTCTCGGGGGCGCGCACGTAAATCCAGCAGCGACGTGCCCGATAGAGAGCAGCGGGAGCGCGTATGCAGACTCTCCAAGGATGGCAATGTACGTGTGTGTGTGTGTGTGTGTGTGTGTGTGTGTGTGTGTGTGTGTGTGTGTGTGTGTGTGTGTGTGTGTGTGTGTGTGTGTGCGCGTGTGTGTGTGTGTGTGTGTGTGTGTGTGTGTGTTCGTGTGGCCCTGCAGTCAGTCTCTGGGTGTTGCTTTTGGTTTTCCACCACACACACACGCACACACACACACACACACACACACACACACACACACATACACACACACACACACACATACACACACACAGTCTCTAGGCGTTAAAATGCATCAGTGTGTAATTTCCTTTGTTCAGCTCTGTGTAACAAAGCAGTCAGACTCTAATTTAGACTTCATTATAAGCAGTTGTACTTCTTTTACTAAATGTGTATTGTTCTAAAGCTTATTACATAATGTCGTTAATTAAAATAATTTCTGTGTTGTCAGATGTCCCTTGTTTTGTCTTTTTTTTAGCTATTTTTCTACTTGGACTAAAAGCCTTCCTGAAGGATCTATCCATTCCAAGTTGAAACCAAACATTTTTTATTTAATTTATTTTCGTCAACAGTTATCAAATAAAAGTGATGTAAAAGTTCAATGTTAAAAACGTATTTCGATAGTGGACCCTGAAGGCAGCATCTCCCTCCCTGGTCCAATGGGATCTCTCCATTGAATTTTGAAGTAAGAAGCCTGAAACGCCTCCATTGGACTCCTCTGTTTACTTCCTGAAAATTGTGACATCACTATGGAATACTCACGCTCCAACACATTGATATACACCTGAACATCAGCAGGAGAGGACTCTTTAAAGTAGAGACACTACATACTGATATACACCTGAACCTCAGCAGGAGAGGACTCTTTAAAGTAGAGACACTACATACTGATATACACCTGAACATCAGCAGGAGAGGACTCTTTAAAGTAGAGACACTACATACTGATATACACCTGAACATCAGCAGGAGAGGACTCTTTAAAGTAGAGACACTACATACTGATATACACCTGAACATCAGCAGGAGAGGACTCTTTAAAGTAGAGACACTACATACTGATATACACCTGAACATCAGCAGGAGAGGACTCTTTAAAGTAGAGACACTACACACTGATATACACCTGAACATCAGCAGGAGAGGACTCTTTAAAGTAGAGACACTACATACTGATATACACCTGAACATCAGCAGGAGAGGACTCTTTAAAGTAGAGACACTACACTACTGATATACACCTGAACATCAGCAGGAGAGGCACTCTTCTAAAGTAGAGACACTACACACTGATATACACCTGAACATCAGCAGGAGAGGACTCTTTAAAGTAGAGACACTACATACTGATATACACCTGAACATCAGCAGGAGAGGACTCTTTAAAGTAGAGACACTACATACTGATATACACCTGAACATCAGCAGGAGAGGACTCTTTAAAGTAGAGACACTACATACTGATATACACCTGAACATCAGCAGGAGAGGACTCTTTAAAGTAGAGACACTACACTACTGATATACACCTGAACATCAGCAGGAGAGGACTCTTAAAGTAGAGACACTACATACTGATATACACCTGAACATCAGCAGGAGAGGACTCTTTAAAGTAGAGACACTACATACTGATATACACCTGAACATCAGCAGGAGAGGACTCTTTAAAGTAGAGACACTACATACTGATATACACCTGAACATCAGCAGGAGAGGACTCTTTAAAGTAGAGACACTACAACTGATATACACCTGAACATCAGCAGGAGAGGACTCTTTAAAGTAGAGACACTACATACTGATATACACCTGAACATCAGCAGGAGAGGACTCTTTAAAGTAGAGACACTACATACTGATATACACCTGAACATCAGCAGGAGAGGACTCTTTAAAGTAGAGTCACTACATACTGATATACACCTGAACATCAGCAGGAGAGGACTCTTTAAAGTAGAGACACTACATACTGATATACACCTGAACATCAGCAGGAGAGGACTCTTTAAAGTAGAGACACTACATACTGATATACACCTGAACATCAGCAGGAGAGGACTCTTTAAAGTAGAGACACTACATACTGATATACACCTGAACATCAGCAGAGAGGACTCTTTAAAGTAGAGACACTACATACTGATATACACCTGAACATCAGCAGGAGAGGACTCTTTAAAGTAGAGACACTACATACTGATATACACCTGAAACATCAGCAGGAGAGGACTCTTTAAAGTAGGAGACACTACATACTGATATACACCTGAACATCAGCAGGAGAGGACTCTTTAAAGGTAGAGACTCTACATACTGATATACACCAACCTGGAAACATCAGCAGGAGAGGACTCTTTAAAGTAGAGACACTACATGCTGATATACACCTGAACATCAACAGGAGAGGACTCTTTAAAGTAGAGACACTACATACTGATATACACCTGAACATCAGCAGGAGAGGACTCTTTAAAGTAGAGACACTACCAGTGGCGACTGGTCATTAGGGGCAGGTGGGGCACAGCCCCACCTAGTGTCAGCAGAAAGTATTAAAAGTAATGATTACAAAAAAATGCAAAAAATAATTAAAAAATATATAAAATATATTTTAAGATCATGTTTATTCATCTGATTCGTCTGTACATTGCTGTTTTAGTCTGTGTTCTTCTAATTAGTGTCTACAGTGTGTGCCTATTGAGCTGTTTTGAGCCATTGTGGGACAAAACCCGATCCTGCCCCTCCCTCTCCCTGTTTAAGTCAATGGTGACTGTAAAAACTACACTGCGCATGCTCAGAGTATTGTCCTATTTAATGTGTGTGGCAAAAAATAATGACCATAGGGGCATAGAGCTGCCATCCCCACCATACGTCATCTCACATCATTCAGAGCTGATTGGCTGTAAGTACGTGTGCCGCGAAAAGTGTGGTGTGTGAAGAGGAGGAGAGAGAGCTGCAGTGAGGCGTCCTAAAACCCGGAAGTAAGCTGCGCATGGCTTCCCTCGACAAAAAAGCAATGATATTTCTCCATAGGATTTTAGAAAATAGCTCAAATAAGATCTGTGGGAAACAAACCTGTTAGATAAATGCACGTTTTGTTCAGCCGGATAATATCCACATGTCTACCCTACTTTTATCATTTTCGAATCATAAATCTATCGATTAGATCAGATTTATGATAGACTTTTGAAACTACAAGAACATAAGGAGGACTTTTACAAAAAAGTAATAGAGATTTTTGTCCAGAAGGATAGGCAAATGGACTTCATCTTCATGTCAAGGTAAGACTGCAATTTTATTGAAAATGGGATCTTACTAAGAGAGAACAATTCAATATTTAAATGATAAAATTACATTTTTTGGGTATCCTTTTGTTGAACTGTCTGTTTAAAATTAATTGAAGCATCAGACAAAAAAAGCTTTTGAAAATAATATGATATTTTGATTTAGGTCAAAATATAATATTAGTAAACCTGAAGAGTCAGATCCTCAGCAGCCATGAACCTCACTGCAGAAGCTTATATATAGACATCTAAGTTTTTTGTGCCCCACCACTTTTGTACATATAAAAACGCCACACTACATACTGATATACACCTGAACATCAGCAGGAGAGGACTCTTTAAAGTAGAGACACTACATACTGATATACCCCTGAACATCAGCAGGAGAGGACTCTTTAAAGTAGAGACACTACATACTGATATACACCTGAACATCAGCAGGAGAGGACTCTTTAAAGTAGAGACACTACATCTGAATATACACCTGAACATCAGCAGGAGAGGACTCTTTAAAGTAGAGACACTACATACTGATATACACCTGAACATCAGCAGAGAGGACTCTTAATAGTAGAGACACTACATACTGATATACACCTGAACATCAGCAGGAGAGGACTCTTTAAAGTAGAGACACTACATACTGATATACCACTGAACATCAGCAGGAGAGGACTCTTTAAAGTAGAGACACTACTAACTGATATCACCGGACATCAGCAGGAAGGACTCTTTAAAGTAGAGACACTACATACTGATATACACTTGAACATCAGCAGGAGAGGACTCTTTAAAGTAGAGACACTACATACTGATATACACCTGAACATCAGCAGGAGAGGACTCTTTAAAGTAGAGACACTACATACTGATATACACCTGAACATCAGCAGGAGAGGACTCTTTAAAGTAGAGACACTACACACTGATATACACCTGAACATCAGCAGGAGAGGACTCTTTAAAGTAGAGACACTACATACTGATATACAACCTGAACATCAGCAGGAGAGGACTCTTTAAAGTAGAGACACTACATACTGATATACACCTGAACATCAGCAGGAGAGGACTCTTTAAAGTAGAGACACTAAATACTGATATACACCTGAACATCAGCAGGAGAGGACTCTTTAAAGTAGAGACACTACATACTGATATACACCTGAACATCAGCAGGAGAGGACTCTTTAAAGTAGAGACACTACATACTGATATACACCTGAACATCAGCAGGAGAGGACTCTTTAAAGTAGAGACACTATACTGATATACACCTGAACATCAGCAGGAGAGGACTCTTCAAAGTAGAGACACTACATACTGATATACACCTGAACATCAGCAGGAGAGGACTCTTTAAAGTAGAGACACTACATACTGATATACACCTGAACATCAGCAGGAGAGGACTCTTTAAAGTAGAGACACTACATAC